CCTGCTGCAGAAAGAGGCCAAAACTTGCTGGTGATGAGCCCTAAAACGTCCACACAGAATGTTTTAGCGCGCTTCTGCATTCCGAGGATGAAAAGTTGCTGGTCTTGGGCGCTAAAACTTCCTTCAACGAACGTTTTAGCGCCCTGATGTTGGAAAAAGCCTCTGGTCTCCAACGCTAAAACGTCCAAACCAAGTGTTTTAGCGGTGGAGTCAGTTGAGGACAGTTGAGCATTCACAAGGCATGGACGCTAAAACGGCCATTCATGAACGTTTTAGCGTTCAAGTTAGTTGAGAGCAGTTGGGCATCCGTCAAAGTTGGACGCTAAAACGCCCATAAGTGAACGTTTTAGCGCCCAAGTCAGTTTTCAGTTGTAATTTGTAAACTATAAAAGGACAAGGGGCCTTCATACTCTGATATACAATCCAATCCATCATATCTCATTCTGATTTTTCTCATCACACTAGGAGAAGGGGGATCAGGTCAGATCTTTCATAGATATGATCTGACTCCTCATTTTCTCTGACTTTCCAAATTCTTAGGACTTAGTATTGTAATAGTTAGTATACTTTCATGTAATTGTACTTGAAGATCGAAGACTCAACTATCATGACAATGGAGTTTGATCTTTCTTCTTCTTCTCTTGTTATTATTTGTATTATGTCTGAGTAGAGTTCTTTGTAGTCTGATTCAATGGAACTCAAGTTTGAATTTATGAATGGTTAATTAGATGTTTTGTTTATTTATTATATGATTGTATGAAGTTGTCTTGATTAATTCTTCATGTTGAGGAATAGTGTAGAACATACATGTTTACATTGTTTCTCTATTTTTGACAACTTCATCATCAGTGTTCTAGTAGTCAAGAGATTGATGCTAGGATTCTGATGTGATCTTAAGACCTTAGTAATTAATGCATGTATTAAGAAAGGAATCACCAAGGGATTGGGGTTTCTGATTAATGTGTCTATCAGGGTAGTAAGGGATTACATCTTGAGATGATAAGAAAAAGGTTGATCAACATCACATAGTAGATAATTCATAATGGAAATTGGTTCATCTATAAATTCATGTTTGAGTGAAAATGACATCTGACTACTTGTTTACATTATAATTTACATTTTATTTATTTATCAAGTTTTAATTCAATTCAGTGTAGTTTCTGGTGACAAGAAATCTATGCAATCTATGAACTTTTGTTTGATTCAACTCAAGTACATATGGTTAGTCAGTGCTTGACACAAATCCTCGTGGGAACGATCTTTACTCATCATTTTATTACTTGTACGACTAGTACACTTGCTAGATCCGCAACAAGTAGCTGGAAGTCAAGTAGAAGAATGAGTCTAGCGACCAGGAAGCATAGATAGCAAAGGCGGAGATGGTACTTTAACAGTCAAAGGAGGATCATATGCTTATAACATGCAATTTGAAATCACGTGCTACCAGACGAGTCATGCTTAAATTAGGCGTGAGTGCCTGGGTGACACCTAACTCAGGCGTGATTGGTAACGTCTAATCTGAATGTGACACACTGCAATATACGCGTAAATAGTTTCAAAATAACAATAAATTTGTAATTATTTATTTAAATTGTAATAAATTATTTTTTTTGCCATGTCAAGGATTTAATATTTCTCCTTCACACAAATATTTAGTGAGATGACTGCAACTACAAGTCTACAACAAACTGCAAGATATATGATCATTTGATATACATTACGAAAAATTAACTAAAATTTAAATTACTTATTAATATCAGATAAGAAATATTTTAGTTATTGAAAAAATTTAAAAGTAAAAATAATTGATTTACATATGTGGCAAATTCTTGATGCTCCAATCCGACAATAGAGTTAATGATAGTATTTTATATGTGACCATTTGATGGAGATGGATGCTATATATAATATTTTTGGCATCACCACATCATTTAAAAATCTCAATCGTTAATTAATAAATTAACATTCTCCCATTTGATACACATTAAAAAGACCCAATTAAAATTATATCAAAATGAGATAAGAAATATTTGAGTTAATTTAAAATTTGAAAAAGTAAAAATAATTATTTTGTTATTACTTAAATTTAATAAAATCATTTATAGCTAAGATTTGGATTAAATTTAATATTTTTTTTTTAAAAAAACAACACCGCTTAAAAATAGGGATTGAGAATATATGGAATTGTAGTTCCCACATAAAAAATACAAAACAAACTGAATTTAAAAATTTCCTTAATAACCTCATTTATTTTCATATTTAATTCATGGAAAATAGTTGTCTTATGTCACGTAAGATACTTATCTTATGTTGCACACCCATGAAATCTTTTGCCCATATTTTTTTCTTTTTAAATTATGGGCTCCACAACTTTGTTTCATCCACGTAAGATACCTATCTTATGTGACATAAGATTAATAACTCCCTAAATTCAAATCTTACAACTAAAAAAATAGACCCTCTTAATGTTTTTGGAAAATTGCATCTAGCTTGATGTTGATTTATAAAATGAAACTAGTCGTAAATAACTTGCAAGTTGGCTTGATCATATTAAATTAAACAACAAAATAGTTATTATCTTATATGTTCAGTGCTTGTCATTTATTTTTAATAAAACTACTTCATTTTGATGTGCTTTTTCACTTTTTCTTTTTTATAAAATTAGAAATAAAAAAAAAAGTTGAGGAGAGAGAATATAAAAACACAATAAAACGACGTAGTTTCATTAAAAATAACATAAATTTATGTTATTTAAAATGGGAAACATTTTTCCATCTTATATTCCATCCAATGGCCCTTGCTTATTCAAGTATTTGAATTTTGAAAATAGTCTATTGTATGATAAAGGGATAATCTCATGAGGTTCTTCCTAATCACTAAATCAAAAGAACAGTTTTATAGAGATACTCATGAAGTAAGTCATTTACCCTATAAATAATGGGTGAAATCCAGCCTAACACGTTAAAACTTTTCACCATGGAAGATGAAAGTTCATACAAATCAATTCATACCACAGTCCACAGTTCTTGGAAAGTCAATATTGATATTATTTCCTTTGTTGGACTTGGGATCAATAATGCTTGTTGTATTGATAATTTTCAAGCTATGCAAGATGGTATTGAACTTGAATGACGTGAGCTATTTGCATGGATTGAACTAGATAAACTAAATATGCAGCCTTGTGGTGTAGTGAAATGCTGGATCTCTTAAGTGATGTGATTCTAGCTGCAATTCAGATGACGCCCATCAATTATGTGAGGTAATTTTATTTTTTACTTCATAATTATCTTGTCCTGTTTTTGCTATTCATAGTTGTACATTTTAATCACTTCAATCAATTAAGTGATCCATTTGAATCTATTCTGCAATTTCTTCTTAACTAAAGCTAATTCTTTTATAAGAGTAATTAGATAATATTATAAGAAAGTTTTATAAATCAATTTCTTTTACTAAAATCTTAACTTTTATTTAATGTCAATTTTGTTTTAGGGTAAAATGATAATAAAATTTTTAAAATTTGAAAACCATAGTATTATCAGGTTATACTATATTCATTTTTAAAAAAAAATTAGAAATTATTAAAGATTGTCCGATAACACAATACTATCAATAATTCAAAATAATATATTTGGTAAAATAAATATTAAATACGTGTAGAACAGAATTATATGCATTATCATATGAAATAAATTTAAAATATTAAATAACAACAAAGTACTATTATGAGAAATGTTATATTTACAAATTTTTTATTTATAAACTCTTATAAACTTAATTATGTACTAAGAATAATACATAAACCAACTTATACCCTCAGTACATAATTAAGTTTATAAATAAAAAATTATAAATATAATCTGCCGCTTAATTCAGTTTGTGAAATTTTTCATTCATGATTAAGTTTAGTTTTTTTTTTTTTTTTTTTAGAAATATTTATATGCTCGAGAAGAGTTAGGTGAAATTAGTTCTTTTCATCTGAAAAAAATAAAAAATAAAATAGCTCTGTTCCTTCTTCGTGAGTGCAGACGTCTATGTGCTAACAAATATTATTATGACTCAACCGTTTATTATTAAAATTTAAAAGTGTTTATCAAATTAATTATCTAAAGAAAAAATTAAGTAAGAAATAATTGTCAACCGTTAATCATAATATAAAATACTACTTATAGTTTAAAACGCCAGTCGTTTAAAATTTTTGTACAAAAATCAAGAAAATGTAAATATCTTTACTTTAAAAAATAATTATTTTAATGAAATTGTCTTTTTATTTAATTAGTACTCTTTCATTTTATTTGATAAATGTATTAAAATATTTATTAATTACTCTCTCGTTCCGTAATGTTTTTTGATTTTATTTTCTCCTTTGTAAATGGATCAACCGGTTTATGGCTTGGCCTAAATAAGATCAACCTTGATTTATTATATATAATTAAATAGAACATGTTTAAGTCTTAAATTTTTTTTTTTAGAAAGTAGGTCATATATTAATGGGAGTGAATTATCTCATGTGCTAATTAATATGACCATGTCACGTGGGACAATCATAACCATACATGAGTGAGTTAATGGTGTTAAGGAAGGAGAGAGAAAAAAATATAAGAATAGAAAGTTACATAATCATATCGCCGTTGATTTAATTATATCCTCTCACATGATATGATCACGTTAAATTACACGTGAGAGGATCCATTTCTTATATTAACAGCCTTAACCAGGCTAATTGATCAGAGATAAGAATTTGAGCTTAACAAACCATACCAAAACTAATTGATCAGAGATAAGAATTTGAGCTTAACAAACTCATACTTGATCTGCAAGCATCCCCTGCGTTTCATCTCCACTGTTCTTAAAGATTATTGAACAGAATTCAAAACCAATTCCAATTCAAAACTTTTTTCTCAATTTCACTCTCTCTCTTTATTCGTGAAAAAAGTAAAAAAAATATTTTTCTGTTCGGCGTTAATTGGCGGGAACCAATTGTGAATTCAGATACCCTTCAAATGGCATGCCCTTATGGTAACCACCAGGAGCAGCAGCAGACCACGCATGTTGTCTCATCGGATTGGACCTTGGAAGAACAGGCTGTTTTTCAAGAAGGACTCATTCAGTAAGTAATTCTTTTTCTCTAATTCATAGCAAATTTTCTTTTTTCTTTTCTTTCTTGCTTAGTCGCTTCAGTTTTGTTTTTCCTTTTTTAATGTTTATTTTGATATCGATTTATCACGTGCGACTTAATGCTTGGCTTTGATATATATTCTGAAATTGAGAACGTGTTTGTATCCGTATTTTATTGTTTTTGGAGAGGTTTTGTTGGGTTTGTTTGGTTTTCCAGATAATGCATGAGCCTTAAAAGGCCGTACCAATTGAACCTGTGGGGAACAATCATGAGTTATTATTTTTTTATTTTTTTGGTATAAGAGGAGGACACTTGACCAGAACTTAGCCTAAATTAGTGGTCCTAATGTCTGGACTACATTATGTCTTTAGGGTTTATGGTTTTGGATTTAAAACTTTATAACTAGGGTTTAGGGTTAGGGTTTTAAAGATTAGGGTTAGGGTGAGAGGAGCAGTGGCGTAGCCACATTGTAACATGGTAGTGCCTTGGCACTACCTTTGTTTCAAAATTTTCTACTTATTATATTTAATTATATATATAATTTTATAGTTAATTATAATTTGACCATTGTTAAAATTATAATTTGGCACTACCTAAATAAATATGGAGAAGGATATACTTACCACAAAAAAAGTTTATAACCTTTACAACTAACCTAATTACCATTGATTTTTGTCAATCTGACGGTTATAATTTATGGAAATTATTGGTCACATTTATTAATTAATTATTAATTTCCAATAAATTATAACTGTTGTATTGATGGAAATCAACGGTGATTAGGTTGGTTGTAAAGATTGTAAACTTTTTTGGTGGTAAGTATATCATTCCCCAATAAATATAGCAAAATTGTAATATTTTTATCTTTTGCGTCATTTATTAACCACTCATTTGTTATTTTATTTTTTAAAATATATATATATATATGTGTGTGTGTGTGTGTGTGTGTACCCACATTTTCTTAGGACAATACTTGATTTATTACTTATTATTTTGTGGGAGAAAAGTAAAATTTTTATGTTTGAAATGCTTACTGGAAATGTTAGTGCCTTATATATTTGTTTTGATTTATAATCATTGACAATTGTTCTTTTAAATTTTTAATGTTATGTGACTTTATTTAGTAAATAAGTTAAATAGATATGCTAGAATTTATAGTAAGTTTTTTTCTTGATAAATTTATGTAATTAAGATATATATTTTGATAATTTAATATGTTAAATTTTTTGGTACTACCTAAAAAATTTTCCTAGCTCCGCGACCGGAAGGAAGGGATGAATATTCCTTGTAATTGAACTTCTCCTCGATAGCCTTAACTTCAAACCAATGTGCAAATTGGTTTTCCTAGTGATCTGACATTAGCTATGCTTTTAGTTTGAGAGAAACTCGCTGTTGTTTCTTTTTTATTATATTTTATTGGATTTATTTTTTAGGACCAACATAAGAATAGTATGTACAAATAAAACAACTCAGTTCATGAATTTGATGAATAAATTACTTCTGATTCAGTAGTTATGCAAGAGGTAAGAAAAATAATTGGTTCTTGTTCATATTGTTAAATTATTCATCAATTTTAACTAAACTCGTACAGTCATGCGTAAGTTTGGTTTTTAGACCTATGTTGTTGACATACCGATACCAAGGAAGACAATGTATTGATTTGTTTAGTCACTAGCTACAAGAAAAATGGTATTTGGAGGTGGTTTCATTTACACCGCCTCCAATTGATAGTAAAGATGGTATTTTTGATGGTTTAATTGATTTGAAGCAGTTGATGTGAAATCGCCTCCAAATGTGTACTAGAGGTGGTTAAAATAACCGTCCCCATTTATCATTCAGAGGCGATTACATAAAAACCGCTTCTAATTTCTACCTTTAGAGGTTGTTAAACTATAACCACCTCCAAATGTATATTAGACGCGGTTAAAATAACCGCCTCCATTGACCATACCGGTTTGGAAAAGCTTTTATTCCTAAAAAAAGTTATTTTTTTAAAAAATAAAAGTTCTTTTAAGAATTTTTAGATATTTGGATAACAACTTTTTAAAAAAACAAAAGTTAAAATAAAAGTTAAAATGCTATTTTTTTTAGCCAGTAGTTGGTTGCTTTTGAAAAAAGTAGAAATTAAATGATAATATAGATTTTTTTTTTGGAAATAAGATAATATAAATTTTTAAGAAATACAATTTTAACCTTATCTTATCATACATATTTTATCTCTCCTTATCCCACATCATGCTATTTTATCTATCATTTATTGTAATTTTATATATAAAAAGTGCTTTTTTTCATTTTAATATCCAAATAACTTTTTTTTTATCTAAAAGTGATTTTCAGATCATACATTCAAACGTAAAATAACTTTATCTTTTAAAAAAGTTTCTTTTAAAAAAGAAATGCATATAACTAGTGATAATGATTCCACTATCCTAGGTTGATTTAACGTAAACGATGCATTGCTAATGATGGTAGTAGATATCATTCTTTTATTTTTACAATATAATCAGAATTATAATCTAAGGTATGATGGCGTCTCACAACTGGTCATTGTCCATGTACCTAAGATTTTCTTAAGAAGTGCATGTTTAAAACTTGGTGTCTATAAAACGTAAAGGGTTGTGAGCTTTTGTTTTATTTGTTATATATTATGTTATTGTCTAAAACATTCATTCCATAAATTCCAATTTGAAACATAGAAAAACATCATAACTTTAAAAAATCGTAGGTTAGGTTGCTTAATAATAAAGTCAAGATAAATATGAAAAACTCTTTATTTCATGTAGCATTAATATTTCTCACACACTGTATTCAAAAAAAAAAAAATATTTCTCACACTGTTTACAACTTTCTTTCTTTTCACTCAGATATTACTAGATTAGGCTAAGCTTCTAGTTTGGTGGTGAAGATAAGATTTACAACTCATCACGGTAAGAATACAATTCACACACATACTCTAGATGCTTCTAGCTTCGTGGAGTCGATCGGAAGCAAATTTGAGTTAAACTTCTAACATTTGTTTTCTTTTTTTGTTGTTTATTTTGATATCGATTTATCAAGTGTGACTTAATATGTTTGGCTTTGATTTTCTTTAAACTTTGAACTTTAATTTTTGGAAATTGAGAACGTGTTTGTATCCAAAGTATATTGTTTTTGGTGAGGTTTTGTTGGGTTTGTTTGGTTTTTCAGATACTGCATGAGCCTTAATTTCAGTATGTATATTTAATTCGTTGCTTGTAGGCACAAGCTTCCATTGCATTCTGTGCCTATATTTTACTATGGATTCATTGTTATCATATTGTTTTTCTTGTTTGCTGCGGTTCCCTAACTAGCAACGTGTATTTGATAAGTCCTATAGCTACTTCTTGTTGTAACAAAAATTCCAATTTTTTCTTTGTAGGTTAGCATCAGTGCCTTTCACAACACGCTATGCAGCAATAGCAAAACAGCTGCCTAATAAGGATGTCCGGAAAGTAGCACAGCAAGTCAAGTTGATGAATGTAAGCTATACATACCTGTTTATTTTTGTCTTACGTCATTTATGGCATTGTGAATGACTTAACCTGTTCTTCAGCTCGGATAAGATTCTTAGTAAGATTTGTTGCATTAGCTGAGATACTTCATACTATTTTTCTTTGATTATCTTTGTTGCATCAGCTCGGATAAGATTTGTTGGTCATTAGAGCTATTTCTATAGTAACATACCTTTTCCTCTCTCCCTCTTCTTACCCAATTGAGCTAAATTCTTTGCTATCCTTTTGGGCATTCTTTGAACTCAAAGGCATTGATATGCACCTGCTAGAGTTAAAATTTTAATATAATCAGCATAGAGATCCGATAACCTATCACAAATATTTAATATTGTTTTGAAGGTCCAAAGAAGACCCAACAACATTTTTGGAGTAGTTATTTCCTCTGAATAATGACATGTTTGGTATGCATTTTTATACAGGAAAAAGAAAGGGGCAAGAGAAGGAAGGATGGTCATATTTTGAAAAGGGAAAGAAAAGATAAAAAGGTATTGCTTTCATTTATTGGATGTTCATATTATTGATGTATTAACTGAGTGTTTGTTTTGTGTTTCACTCTTTTGCATGCCAATGGAGATGTGTTTTTTAATGTCTTTGATTTCCCTATGCATGTTGATGTCTAGACCTTTTTATGTGGATGCAAGACTCACTCTCTATTTCTTTTTCTTGCTTGTTCATGCATTAATACTGGCTACCCTACTTTTAAGCCCACATATAATCACACATTCAATTGAGGGAAAGCTATTCTGAATAAGCTAGTTGATAATCTTCATATTTCTTCCCTCTCACCCATCTTCATCCCCAACACACACACCTGCTCTTCATATAACTTGCTCCCTTGAGCTGATAATATATAAATGTGAAAGAAAATGGTGACTTCTGATTTTATACGCAAAGCATTGTATAGTAATATCATCTACATTGACTCAACATTATGGTATCATCTCCTTTTTATTGTTATATGATCTTCTTCTTATTCTTTTTAGGTGGAGAGACTATTAGTATTAACTATGAATTTCATTATTTCTCCGGAGAATTTCATCATGCTAGTTATTATTATTATTTTGCTTTTGAAATAGACCAAGCATCATATTTGTCAAATGTTCTAACCAGGAAAAAGCTAGCATGACATTTCTCTTTCCTCGATTTTATGACTTGTTAAATAACGAACAATGATGTTTCCTTCTCCCTTACGGTCGAGAACTACGTACCTTGCCTGCATTAAGATTTAAAACTTGTCGTCAAAAAGGCAATCAATCAGAATCAAGAAAAAAAATGGAAATAGTGAATCAAGCAAGATCTAGATGGACATGTTGGCTAAGAGAAATACCAAGAAGAAAAAAAAACGTGGCAACAAGGAAGCCAAAAAAATATATTTGCATTTATGCTATACTGGAAACTCTGGATTCTTTCTTTATATTTATATTCATGTTTTGGGATTTTTTTTCCCAGGAAAAAGTTTCTCATCCTGCAGCGAAATCATCTGCTTTTGCTGCTCGACCCAATGTTTCCCCATATGCTCCAATGATTGTGATGGACAATGATGATGGCATCTCTTCCAAAGGTTGGTTCCTTTTAACAGCTTTGAATTTTTTCATGTTTGCATACATGATTTAGCTCTGGTAGGCCTTTTTATCATTACCTTTAGGCATCTCTCGTATTTGCATTTCCCTTTCAAATGTTTGAGAATCTCCTTTAAACTTTGCACTGTGATTTTTGCAGCAATTGGAGGTCCTACAGGTGAGCTGTTAGAGCAAAATGCACAGGCTTTGAAACAAATCTCTGCAAATATTAATGCTGCTAGTAAGGTGAGTTGATGGCATTTTTAACTGATATAACCTTTTTGTGCATGAAAATAGTCCCTTGAACTAAAAGGGTAAAAAACAATTCCTGAATCAACCTTGTTAATCATGCATGTATTTGTTAATTTGTGCATCGATCTGTTCATCAAGCAGTATTTTTTTTCTTCACCAAATTCTCTTTTTTCCCGTTTTCCCTCCATGTCCTTTTATTTCATTATGGTCAATGTTAGAGAATAATATAAAGGTTCTTTACAGTCAATATAATATATATATATATATATATATATATATATATTATATATATATCATAGTGATTACATGATCTTTGAGTTGAGAAATTTTTTATTTTTTTCTCTTCACTTTCGTTATTACTTTTTGATTTACTGTGTATGTGGAGAACGCTGATAAGTTAGATGCTTCAGAAGCCTTATTTAAGGTGAACATTAACTTCTGCGACTAAGTCTATAGAGATTTCTTCAATTATAACATATCCCATAGTAACAAAGATAACGTTAAAGTTGTGAACTTTAACTTATTCTTGATTTCTTTTTTAAATTCATACTATAATATCAATACATATTTTCTTCAAGCATCTATATGTATACAATTCAACTATTGAAGCAATATTTTGATATCTGTCTTACTTCTGAAGCCAAGAACGCAAATTGAACTTTAAAATACCAGTCAAGGATTAAGGTTTCGTTACCTGATTTCAACAGAATTTGAATAACATTCATAAACTTATGTTGGGAGTTGGGACAGTTCCAGCAATCGATTTATTATGTTTGATGAATTAATGGAATAAAAGGGAAGCTTTAGGCATTCTATGTTTAACACTGGCAATCAGCCTCTGGACGGTATATCAATGCCTATGTATACTTAATGAATTTTTCCCCACTTTATGTTTTGATTTTGCATCGTGTGCAAATTTAGTCAACAACATGATATAGATGTCTTTGAGGTTGTTGAAAACTGAAGAACTGACTGCTGCTGGGGTATTTCATGATGTCTTTGATAGCTGTATTGTAGTTTAATGTTTTAAAACTTTTTTTCTAGTTTATATCTAATATCTTTTGCCTTCTTAATCCATTTTTGGTGGCTGTGATGCTGATCTATAACTTTTTCTGTTTTTTCCTTTTTGTTTTCAGTATCAGGATAGCATCAAACTTTTCTGCCAAACGAGAGATAACATTGATAAAATTTTGAACAAGTAAGTTATAATTTTTTATTTTTTATTTTGTTTATAAATATCACATTTATAAGAATGCATGGGGGTTATACATGTGATATATTTGTTTTTCTTTTTATGTGGTGGTATGTGAATGACAGAAAGTCGTTAACTCGATCAATAGGAAAACTAAGGTGAAAAATAACAGTTCATTAAATCTCAATTAGTAGGAAAAAGGTTGCTTTATATATGTGTATATCTATGGTATAAGAACTAATATCCTAAAAGCTTAAAGTTGTTATTTGAATGCACACGAATTGGTGTTTTGTAGTACATGTCTAACAGAACCCTTTGGGGAAGAGTTTTTTGGGCATACGACAGATAATTTACAAGTCCACCTATCTTATGTTAAAATTTAACTTCAGAAAAAAAGAATGAGAGGATTTAATTAGGATTTAACTCCTGATCATTTGGTTATACAGACTTTTATATCATGTTAAGAATCAACTACCATAAAAATTAATTTGTTAGGTGAAGACACGTGAATGGTCTTTTATGTTACATCTCTAACATGTTTGACTTTAACTAACAACTGAATTAAATCGAGTATTCTTGTTTTCCCCAAGCTTGGATCTTGAGTGGTGAATATGTTTTCTGCTGACATACAGTAACAGTGTTTTCAACTGTTCTAAGAATTACTTTTGTTAATTTTTTCCAATTTGACTCAAAGTAAAAACAATCTCTTTTATTTCCATCGCAGTTTTAATGACATGTCAGAGGTAATGAAGAAAATGCCACCTCTTCCTGTGGAAATCGATGAAAAATTATTTAGCCATCTCCAACCTTCCAGCAACAAATCTACAGATGCAATAACGATGTTTGCTTATTCATCAAGATCTCGTTGAACTAGCCTTCATGATTTTTTTTCTATTTTCCTGATCTTGTTCTCTTATTGGCTTCGAACTTGATTGGATTACCGGAATTTGTTCTTGGTTTTATTTTAAGGTTGAATTTTAGGGAAGGTTAACAATATGTAGGATTTTTAATCTTGCATTTACATTTCATTCTTCATATTATATATGGGAATTATTTTTTTTATGCTTTTGTTGTATATTTTCTACAATCTATTGTTCCCATGATTGGTCTCACCTTGCCAATTGCATGAATTTAACAATTATCTATTTAGGGTACTTGGTTGTCCCTTCCATGATGTGGTGGTTGTTGGATCACTTTCACTTGGTTGTCTCTTCCACTGATTGGGAATTTGCGCTTAAAATCCTATTCAGGGCAGTGCCATTACCACTTAGGCGGTTGTATTGGGGATTTAGAATAATAAACCAATATTAATTTTACACATTATTTTTCAGATAAATATATTCTACATATAAATTACTTTACTTTTAATTAAAATTAATTTTATAAACCACTTTTAAGCTGGAATTCGAGACCACATCGGCCCATGGATGCTTTTACAATAGGAGATCATTATTTTCAAATTTTATTTTAAGTTCCTTACCTTTTAGCTATGAAACTTCCTGCATTGAAATGGTCAAGAATTTAATAGGTATTCAAACTCAAGTCTATAGTCAAGGAAATTCTATATCTTCAGCAATTACGAACATTTTCCTTTGAACTAGTATGTAAGGATCTCTCCTCTCACAATAACATAATTATATAAAAATTGTTCATATCCACTAGTTATATAGACGAATATTTGTTAAAATCGAGATCTTAAATAAAATCGGAAGGGAATTAAAAAATCGTAAAACGTAAAATCGTAATGTAAAAATATCGTAAAAAATCATAAAAATGTAAAAGCGTTTAGAATATTAGTAAAATCATTTTGATGAAAAGAAATCGTAAAAATGTAAAATTATAATGATAAATTGAGATTCTAACAACAATGATATAGACACCGTTCTTATATTCTGATCATTAATTCTACACACTTTTTGACTTAGGCATTCAAGTGCATTTGGCAATCAATGCATCATAGAAATCTCACAATTGTAACAAGACTGGAGTATTATTTCGGACCAATTCAATAAGGAGGATAATGATTATATTCAAATTAAAGCAGTATATATTGTGATTTTTAAATAAATTCTTTTCTTTTAAAATAAACATTCTACTAATATTTTATAACTAAATAAACCATCAATAATTTAAGTGACAAGGAGTTTGTTCAACTAAAGGTCTTGAGTTCGAAAAAATGAGAAAAATAGTATTAGAAGAGACACCTCATATAGATTGAAAATGTTTGAATTGGACTAAACCAACATGGATACCAAAAATAACATTTAATAAGTAATCAAGTACAAAAATTATTTCAAATAAAATTAAAAATATAAGTGGAAAAGATAACTAGTAAAACATATATATATATATATATATATATATATATATATATATATATATATATATATATATATATATATGGAAAAGTATTTCTACAGCCACTTTAGAAGAAGTTATCTACAGCTACCCTTTTTAACTAAGTACGACCAGTCGTACTTAGTTATAACCTATGAAGCACCGTGTTGGGACTCACGGCAAGTGCACCGATCGTACAAGTAATATAATGATTGAATAAGAGATCGTTCCCACGAGGATTATACTCAAACACTAATTCACTATTGCAACTTAAGTTGGACAGTCGAAATTGTATTGGTAACAGGATTGAATTTAAAATTTGAAAATTAAAACTAATTAATCGCAAGAATTAAAAGCAAGAAATTAAAGATTTGAATTAACTAATTTAAAAGAACATAGCTAGAGTTTCGATTTCCTTTAATCTCTTTATTATGTTTGAATTCCTTCTTAGTGTTAATTGTCCTTAATATCAATCTAATCAATTCTTTCGCATGTAATTAGGGCTCAATCATTTGTTACCCTAAACCTTCACAATCTAGCAAGAACCCTAGTTCCCCGGTTATTCCCCAAGAATGCAAGCATTAAGTTCAAGAATCTTAAAGATTACGCAAACTCTATGTCTATCCCTAGAATCATAAAGCGTACGATGAAATTATCAGATAAGGATCACACACCAACATTCCTATTGTCATGCATTTACCTACGATCATTATATAAGATTCAAGCATATATAAAGCATTAAAACAGATAATTTCATTCATGATATAAAGGAGAATTAACATACGAATTGTTTAACGCATAATAAATCGATTAAATTCCATCTAACCCTAACTACTTAAAGAACTAGCCAGACATAACAATATCAAGAATGAAAGACAATATAAAAGCTCCCCAAACTCCATAGGTGATTGGTGAATCTTCAATATCCCCAGTGCAGACTTGATGTTGATCTGTCTCCGCTGCTCAGAACATGAACCGAGTGTTTCTCCGCGTTCCCTCTGCCTCAAAGCACCAAAAGACTCTCTTAGAATGTGAAAAGTTCATGATTCTGAACCCCAAATGTGTTTTTAAGGGTAAAAAATTCGTGCCCTAAGTGGATTCCTCAAGTGGGCTTAAGTTGGATCTTTCAGGGAGCTTAAGCTTGCTCATTCGCGCTTAAGCTTGCTGATTTACGAATTCAGAAGTAACGTTCGCGCTCAAGCTTTCTGGAGCGAGCTTAAGACTGCTGGAGCGCGCTTAAGCCTGCTGGAGCGAGCTTAAGCCTGCTCTTCGAATCTGAACTTCCTTCTTGGCTCGAGCTTAAGCCTGCTGGAGCAGGATTAAGCTTGCTAAGGCCGAACCAATTTTTGCCTATACAGGAGGCTTTAGCTTGCTAATTGGGGGCTTAAGCTTGCTTAGGCAGAGGCAATTTGCTGATTTTTTGAGGCTTTAGCTTGCTAATTGGGGCTTAAGCCTCCTCTCTAACAACTTGAGAATCTTGATAAGATCTTCAAATCTTTTTGTTTTGCTCTCCATCTATCCGTATCTTCATCTTTGACTCCATTTGTCATCAAATCCCTTAAAAATAGCAAATGTAGTTTAATTAATTCATAATCAGATAATGTTCATGATTTTATGTTAAAACGCTAGTTTTGACTTGTTCAACTTAATAATTTATATTAATTTAACCTATAAAAACAAGATAAACTAAAGGTTTATCAAACAATTTTCAGATTTGAACATTGCTGTCCTCAGCAATTAATTAGAATAAACTATGTGAAAGTTTGGAGACGGCTAATCATGCTTCATGAATAACAGACAAAAACTGATCAATAATGAGATATCAAAGTATTCAAGTTTAATAGCAATGATACATCGAGTTCAAGCATACATTCACATTCACTAGTCATAAAATCATAACATGAGTTCTCAAAATAAAGAGTGGTAAATCCACAACACTCTCTCACTTCCTATTAAACCCACACTTGCAGAAAAATTATAACAATGCTGTTGAATTGGATTTGAGTTTGAAACCACACTTTATGCTTATCAACACAATCCATCACCAAGTTGAGAATGGGAAAGCAGTGAAATGGCTTCAGTCCACATTCAGTTTCAGATCCTTAAAATGATACAAAGTGTTACCAACAGAACACATTCAGTTTCTTACGTTAGTTACCAACAAAAAAGGATTCACATTCAGCTACCAACAGAAGCTCATATTTTAAAATGGTACCTGCTGATGCTGAGCAGAGCTGACAACTTTTGGGCCAGCTTGCAGCAATCCAAGACATTTATGGGCCGGGCCAATTTTGTTGACACTGACAATTTGCTAGCCCAATCCAGCCCAAAAGTTTAAAGTTTAGGGTTAGGGTTTAAGATTTTATCACTAGGGTTTAGGGTTAGGGTTTTAAAGTTTAGGGTTAGGGTGAGAGGAGCAGTGGCGTAGCCACATTAGGCACTACTTTTGTTTCAAAATTTTCTACTTATTATATTTAATTATATATATAACTTTATAGTTAATTATAATTTGACCACGGGTAAAATTATAATTTGGCACTACCTAAACAAATATGAGGAAGGATATACTTACCACCAAAAAAGTTTACAATCTTTACAACTAACCTAATCACCATTTATTTTTGTCAATCTAACAGTTATAATTAATGAAAATTATTGGGTCATATTTATTAATTAATTATTAATTATTAATAAATTATAACCGTTGGATTGATGGAAATCAACGGTGATTAGGTTGGTTGTAAATGTTGTAAACTTTTTTGGTGGTAAGTATATATATCCTTCCCCAATAAATATAGCAAAATTGTAATATTTTTATCTTTTGCGACATTTTTTAACCACTCATTTGTTATTTTATTTTTTAAAATATATATATATATATATATATATATATATATATATTATTTAGGATGACACACCATCAATGGTGTGAGGTAATTTTTTTTACTTCATAATTATCTATCTTGTTTTATTTTTTTGGTAAACTTATCTCATCTTGTTTTTTTTTTTTTGGTAAACTATCTCATATTGTTTTACCTAGTCATACTTGTGCATTTTATTTACTTCAATCAATTAAGTGATCCATTTGAATCTATTCTGAAGTTTTTTCTTGACTAAAATTAAATCTTTTATAAGAGTAATTAATATTATAAAATAAATCAAATATTTTGTTTAATAAAATCTTAATTTTTATTTGATGACAATTTTGTTTTAGGGTAAAACAATAATAATAAAATTTTAAATTTGTAAAACTTAGTATTATCTGCAGGTTATATTATATTTAATGTCACAAAATATTGAAATATTCATCAATTAATATTAATATTAATTCCTAATTTTAGATTTAAGGAATTATTACCTCCGCCAGGTACTCAAAATAAATTAGTATTCTCTCCTGTTTTATCCAAAAAAATAAAAAAATAAATTAGTGTGTTGTCCAATTAGGAATGTGCAATTCTCAGATTTGAGTCTTTAATTTCTAACAAATATTTGAATTAGATTTAAATAATTTTTTTACTTCATAATTATCTCA